AGAGAGAGAGAGAGAGAGAGACTGAATGGCAAAATTGAAATATGAGTCAAATTGCGGCCGCAATCTGTTTTGCAGTTGGAATAAATTTTTCAAATTTACTTACCGTTTTTCCTGGAAAGATCACAACAAAATCTACGAGTACTCCAATTTTCAGGTTTTTTCACTGATTCTGCTGAGCGTGAAAACTCATTGAATTTAGAGTACTTTTTTAGTTGGCCCAAGCATGGCTGAGTGGCAAAAATGGAAAATGTGCCGAATCGGCGCAACGATTATTTCGCAGTGTAAAGGATTTTTTGTAAATGTTCTATTATTATTTCTGGAAAGAATACAACCTCATCTATGGATTCTCAAAATTTCATATTTTTGTGCATGTTCGTCCGAGCACAGAAAATCGCTAAAGTTGCCTCTTGCAAAACGCCTATTTCGTTGTGCCTGACCTCCCTGTTTTGAGAAGACGGGGCTCAATGCCTGGGCCTGAGGGCCCTTTTGCAGTTCACATGCCCTCACTTCTTTTTGGGTTCCACTTCGTTTTGGGGTCCGCTTCTACCCGAGGACCGGTCCAATGCCCCCCACTTCTTTTTGGGGTCCATTTCCACCCGAGGACCGGTCCTTCGTTTTTCCAAAAGTCCCGGTTCTGCCAGAGCTAGTTGTAGGTAGTCCGCAATTTTGGCAAGGACCGGTCCCCCAAATTTTTTTGCCCACTAAGAACCCACTTTGCGTCCTGGTCGCCCGCCGCCAAAAATGTAACACCTTGACACAGACGCGGAAGCCCACTATACTGCAGCCATTGGCAGAATGGAGCTCGGAACCCCACACCCTTCAGCGTGGTCATAACCAAGGGTCAATTTACCCTATCGTATGCCTTCTCAAGGTCCAATAGAAGCACTGCCACGTCTGTTTCCTCCCTCTCTACAAACTTCAGCGCCTTGATTGTCAGAGCGACTCTTTGGTATAATGGATGAGACTAATATGATGGTTCCGGAGATTTTGACTTTTCTTACTTATAAAATAGGTTTGACATTTTCAATCGCGTTAACAAAATGCGTGATTACATTCATAGACAAGTTCTCATTAGCTAGACAATAAAAAGTTTTATAAACAATAACACGAGATTTTGTTTTTTTTCCATGAATCATACAAATGTAAAAAATTGATATGTTTTGGTCCGGGAAGATAGTTTGTTGGCCAGAGTTTTAGCCAGTAGCTTGTACACCACGTTCAGCATAGATATAGGCCAACAATTGCGGACCTCGTTCCTCTCATCTTTTTTGAACAGCAGCGAGCTGACTCCCCGAGTCATAAAACTTCCCAGTTTGCCTCCTCAAAGGATGTTGTTCTATATCTCAGTGAGGTCTTCAACCAACACATCGGATTCCCAACATGTTGCGAAGAATTCAATCAGCAGCCCATCATTCCCATGGGTCTTCCCACGCACCATCATTTTTATTATGCAGAAAAACTCTACTTTGGAAAGAGGTCGATCCAACCATTGTTTGACCTCATCCAAAATCTTGACCGCCAGGTTATGCTACAAAGGACAAAGCTCGGTCATGACAGCATCAATATCATCCTATGGGCGCGAGTGCCCACTGGACCCTCTCCTCTTCGTTCTTCATCTTGAGCTACTGCTATGCAATATCAAACGTCATCCAGATATCGTAGGGTTGTGCTTGCAAAATGGGAGACAAGCGGGGATGAAGACGCTGACATAGAGTTCTCAGTGGGCACCATTTCAGCGAACAGGAAACCATCTTTGGAAGCCCTCAAACAGTGTCCGATGGACTTCATAGAGTTTTTAGAAGCCACCTTAATTGGAACAAGTTTGTATTTTCCTTACCTAAACACTTCTCGTTGGAGGCCCGATGGGTAATGGATTGTGTACCGCAAATATAGTGGAACAGTTTTGGTTGTCCAAATTGCCCTTAGAGACAACATTTATTCACAAGAGCTAATATTGCAAGAGAGGGTATCCCAAAGAGTAACAAGTTGAGGAAAAGTTTGTCAACTCTCACTTTTCAAAAAAGTGTTTGTAATTATGGTTTCTACATTCTCTCTGTTGTGGTATGTGGCTACAGCTCGAAGATTCTCCCTTCCATTGTTAAAATCATCAATCGAGTGACACATCGCTTTATCTGGAAACCAGAGGGTGGTTCTGAAGGAGGCTATATTCAACAAAGGAGTGTCACGTCGCTTTATCGAAAAACCAGAGCGTGGTTCTAAAGGAGGATATATCTTAAAAGCGACATGGGCCCGCTTTGGCTGCCTTATAAGAAAGGATGTATGTCACGGTCACTTATTGATTCGCCACCTCAAAATACAACATTACGTACCTGATGGGTTGTCAGAGTTGCAGAAGTGGAACAAAATGTGGATTGGGTCAGATTGGTTGAACAAATGTTTGTCACAGAATGAAATATGCATCAGTCTCCAGATGTATGGGTGACTATCATGTCATTTACCTTCCCACTAAAAAGGTAAGATTCGAGGTTCTACTGGCTTAAAACAAAACAAAACCAATAGAACTTATTCATTCGAAGTCTAAGGGACATGCGGTTAATGAAAGCTCGAAAACTCACTATTTTCGCCAACAGTTTCGGTGCAGAATTCAAGGAAAAAATCAAAAACAAAATATATGGGCCCATAATGCAACATTGAAAAACCAAATTTGCCTAAGAAAGCGTAAAAAAAAAAAAAAAAAAAAGCATTATAAACCCTAAGTTAAATGCAATCACTCCCCGAGTTAAAATAAATCGTTCAACGAATCCAACAACATGCCAACTTTTCCAGTAATTATCCAAACCTGTGCAGCATCGTGCCAGTGTTCGCGTTCGAAGGCGAACCTGAATATGTTCGCCCGAATGCGAACTAGTGCCCAAAACCCTCCGAACGCAAACATAAGAAAATATTATTCAAAACAAATCTCAGAAAAACCTGAAATAATTATATGTTATGTAAAACAACAATTCAAATAACTTTTGCTTTGGAGGCATGTTCCAATTCCTAGCCAAACATGATTGAAAAAAAAAGACAAAAAAACAAAAGGAAAGAAAATTAATTTTTATTTTTATTAATAAAAAAAAAATGTTCGCCCGAACACGTTCGCGAGCTGTTCGCATGAATGTGCATACACGTTTGCGTGAACGTGGAGGGGCGCGAACACGTTGTCGGGCGGTTGTCCGAGTCTACCAACCGGATGCTCTCCTCGAAAGAAAAAG